ATGTTTGCAATATTTTTTTCAATTTGGTTATTTGATGATTCTGTCTTGATTGCATGAAGGCAATGTTCTCTTTGAACTCACAATCAACCAAAGAGTATAACACGAGTTGTCGCCAGGCACTGTTAGGTCGATAGTCTCCACCACTACCACTGACGTCTGTATATCAGCAACCGCCCGCTGCTACCAGGTAGGCTTCTAACATAGTACAGTAACAGGTAAATGACATTAGGGTGCGAGTTAGGGATTGTTTTTTTTTTTACCTGACCCAACACACATTTTCCTATTTAATATCTAACTCACAGTTTTAACAATGATTTGACGTTATAATCCTAATTTACTAACTCAATTTTTTTACTGAATGGCAAGAAATTTATGTGAAATAATATTTTCACCACACTATGACGATTTTCGTTGTTTTATATACGTTAATTGGTGGCTGAAAGTTACGTTTTGCTGGCTATGCCAGCTACAATCGTTATTTGGGGAGCGGGCAGGTTTTACATCCTAAGGGCCGCAAAATCAGCTTCCCACTTCTTTCTTAAAACATGAATGCATACACAATCAGTATCCATAGCATTGCAATAGAATTGTTTTATTGTCACCGCTGCCTAGCAACTAATTATTATTATGTTTGCTGATTCTTCCAATTATTTCTTCACATAACCTTTAAATTATAGTTGTGTTGACTATCAGTGTGCATTATTATTGTGGTGAATATGAATAATAGGGAAATAGGGTTTAGTGTGGTGAAAAATAGGGTAAAAACTATCTCGAGCCTGCAAATCCTCATTTTCGGCCCTAGGTACGAAATATACTATTACATACTAATAATGGTAATACATTTTTTACCATTGCAGCTCATTAGTTACGCAAGGATGGATTTTTTTAAATCCATATCTGCAAGAGAAGTCATCAAACCGTTTACACCGTTCGTTTTAGGGCATCAATAAATATTATTTAAATCTTTTATTTACTAATTAATAAATTAACACTTTACTAATCAACACAATAATTAATTGTCCAGCGTTTATTCGAGTTCGGTTTATAACCATTGTTTTGAGAACTTGGCAATGGAATCGAATTGTCTATAATCATTGAGTATTCAGGTAAACGTGTATACTCAATGCTATAACTCTGTCAGGCCATTAGTTTACTGGAAGTCATTCATTAGTTGATATTGCGAATTATGTAATACAGATTTGTCAAATAACTTATGTATGACAGTAAAAATGAAATAATTACTAGTTTTCGATGAACGCCTATATACGATGTGAGATTGTAAAATTCGATGAAGATTTGAGTCTAAAAAATACAGTACGGTACGATGCCCGTTTGTTGCTGTTTGTTAGCGAAAATCCTCTAAGCTGTTCTACATTTTTATGATGATCTCAATATTTGCTTTGTGTTGTTGATTTAAACCCGCATTGAGGAAGGATACGGTGGTAGGTTCACAAACGAATACTAGAATACAAACCGGTATGGATCATAAACATAAACATATGACGTTGTTGGCCCAAATCCTATACTAATCGCATTAACATATGTTTACTTGCTTATGGATATATTTTGATCAAACTTGGCAAATTCATTTATTTTATACTAAGCTATTAATATTTTACTAAAATACACTTTATTAGTTTCCTTGTAGCAGCAAACCTAAGTACTCATTAAACCTAATGTTATTTAAATAGATTTCATTGAAAATCAATTCAGACAAATGGAAATTCGCTTAGTCAGGAGGTTTGCTGCGGCGGGGTATTATTCATACTTATAAAGTCAACGGGATGAAGCCCCTGGGTAACAGCTAGTGTTACATATATAACGTTTATTTTAGACCAAAAACGTCAATTGTTTATGTTTATGATCCATACCTCCTTACGGTTTACTAAGTCAATTGTACAACTGCTTCTCATAAATGGGATGTCTACTTGCAGTATCTAAGTCAATGCTTTATCTGTTTCTCGTAAATGAGATCTCTACTTATGTACAGTCAATGATACATCTGGTTCGCATGAATGGGAAATCTACTACCAGTATCCAAACTCAATGGTATATTTGGTTCACATAAATGGAATGTCCACATAAATGTTGAGATTTCTCATCAACATGATGGTAAATTTATTTTTAGCATGTGTTTATGAGGTGACGAATATAAAGGGTGAGTTCAAAAACTAATGGATACAACAGAGCTTATACGTCCCTTGGTAAAGAACCTAACCATTCAGATAGATAGTACTTGTGATTCTGCGACTCACATATCAACCTAAAATAATTTTTAGATATTTATGAGACTCATTTCCTTTAACAAAGCATCTAAAAACTTGTTGAACTATTTACATTGAACACTATTTCCTATTGGGACAGTTAGTAGAACAGGTACGTTTTTAAAATACCCCCGCTGCAGCAAACCTACCGAATGTTTAACAAGTACCTAGGTTTGCTGCTACAGAGAAATTAATAGAGTGTGTTTTTTATAAAAATATTCATAGCTTAGTATAATATAAATAAATCTGCTAAGCTTGATCAAAATATATCCATAAACAAGCCAGCTACAACATTTTACAATATTCTCCATAGGAATAACGTGGGAAATTTAAATGGACAATTTTTTTTATTTACTCCGTAACCATTAACCGTACAAAAACACTTTGATATACTAAATTATTTGTTTATTTAAGCTCTTTAAAAAGGTGTGGAGAAAGATTTATAAATTTTGTGTTCTAAGGTTAAAAAATTAGAAAACCCCATTTCTACCCCTTAAGAGTCTTCTTCACCCCTGCAAAAACAATAAAAACATGCCTCGGATGTCCCTCGCTCCGGGTGGAATGTGTGAAGATATAATGTTAACACTTTTTTCCCTTACAGATTAATGTTGGTTCTAGGGCCCTCATACATGATATATCCAATAAAATGAGTACAAAAAAAATATTAAAGTAACGTAAATTGTGTCACTTTTAGACACTGATAAACCTAATTATTTTGTTATATTTTCAACCTTTTGAGGTATAAGAGCTCTAATACAACTATTCAACTACATTAATACAAAATTTCAAGAAAATCTGTTGAAAAACGGCCGCCGAAACGGGCCCATTTGAACGAATAGTGTTTTCGGCCTCTGGGGACATCAAAATAAAAAAGTAATTTGGGCCCGGGTCTAGGTCTTAACGAAAGAAAGAAAATACATCCCAGTCCATGAGGTCTGCAAAATTCTACCAAATGCTCAAAAGAGGAATATATTGGCGAAGTCACGATCGTAAGTGAGGGCGTACTTGTACTCAGTGGTCTACAAACCAATTGGTTTTTTCTGTACTGATAATTTAAACAACTTTTCATGTGAATGTGTGTGAAAATGCTCATCTTGTGATGATGGATCCCGAGTCATCTGGGCGGGGGCTCCACCAAAACCAATACATCTTATCCTTATAACCATTGAGCCCGTTCCCAAAGCCTGCACAGATATCCTAGCCTGTCATTGTGTATCCAAGTGTCTATCTACAATGTGCACGTGCAAGAAGAATGGACTGACTGGCACCAAACTGAGTCACCGTTCTAGACAATGTTTAAACCTTTTAAATGGTTCATTTATTGTGTTCGTATCTCTTCGAAATATAGAAACTAACATTTTTTTTACTCTGAAATTGTTTTTTTTTTTCAAATTCCTTGTTCTCTTTCGAAGACGGAGGATTTGGCGGCAATGTTGGAACCTATGTCCTCCAAACTCATCGAAAGTAAATAATGAGTGTTGCAATGTGTTTGTCATCTGAGAAAACACCTTTTTAGACGTTTAAATAATTATTTTAAGCCAACTAACAAGGGATATATATACCAGTAACCAGTAGACTTAGAAAAATACAAGTTACATCATAATTTTACAAATATATTTCTGCGTTTATGTGAGTTGGTTTCACATTTTTATGCAGTTTCAACTCAGCCTTTCAGCGGGTTGAATGAAAAAATATTGGTTTTCGGCACTTTTCTAACGATGGGCGACTATAACATTTTATAACAAAGAAACTACTGAATAATCATGAAATTTTGACAGCTTTTCATTTCGAACATATACTCATAAAGCATATTTATACTTTTTAGAACCTTTTATTGATTTAAACACGATGTTTTGATTTTTATAATGGCTTTTTATTTCAGGGATGGAACAAGTCAGAAACTACGATGTAAGCTTGAATTAAAGCTCTCAAAAAGATACAAATGAATAGTTATTTACTCATTAGCTAAGTGGTCTTGAATAATTAAAATAGTAGTTGAGCGCCAGTGGATGGTGCCTGCAATTTAACGTGGCAACCACTGCAGCGACTTCTGGCTTAGACTGTACTTCTTTTGGACTTAATGAAACGCCCTGTTTATTCAATATTTTAACTTTTGGACGTAGTGAAATTTGGAGTTAGTGATTATTTAAAATTTATACTTTTGGACTTATTGAAATTTGGACTTAATGAAACGTTCTGTTTAATTAATATTTTTACTTTTGGACTTTGTGAAACGCTCTTTGCCACTTCTTCGCAGCTACTAGTGAGGGTAACGATTATTAGATGGCGTTAGGCGGAGTGGTCTCTGAGGATTTGTTGTGGTCGTTCTTGGAGTTTTTGTGGTAGCTATTGTTGTTGTCGACTGGGTGGGTATGGTAATTTTCATAGGTCATGAGGCTTGGGTTTGGGTGGCTGGTAAAGTTATGATGTACTGCTGCATCAGTTTCTACATATTTCATAAGTTCAGAATTTGGTTGATGGGTTTTAGGATGAGGTCAATAAGGAAGTCTTGGAGTGACGGAATGGAATGGATGGCATAGGCATTTTTCCTGGTCCAGGGAGGAAGACTGAAATCTAATTTTGGAACACACCTTATAGGGGTTTAGGCTACTGTTGGTGGGGGTGTGGGGGCAGGGGCTTTTGAGAGGATTATATGGAAGTAAGTTAGTACGAAGATAACAGGTGTTAAAACTAGGGGATGGGCGATAATAAACCTTTGCACTGATGTATGTTTAGATGAGTGCACGGGAGGACGCGGTGGGAGGACCGCGGGTAGTGGTGGTACATGAACCTGATGATGCCAGCGACAGTTCCGTATACGAGGGGACGTCTGAGGAGGAGGACGAGCGTTGGCAAGAGAACAAGGGATCTGATCTCCCCTCCGAGTATTGGCACATACAGAAACTTGTCAAGTATATGAAGGTAACAAGATAACACCCTACTGATATCGTTTGCAATATCTGTTCAGACGTACTTTTATTAAAATTTAAATATGCATAGTTTACATTTTATCATGACCGTCATTGGTATATAATTAATTTGAAAAGAAATCATGAAACGGTGAACTCAATCCAATTTATAGACATTAATCACACCACATTGATATACACATTCTTTCTTTGTCCATGGATTCGGATTGTGGTGGCCAACTTAAAAATTGTTTAAGCAATTTACAAATATGAAGAAAAAACAAGCGCAAAACAAGCATTATTTTAGTTAAGTGTATCTTCTAAGAACAGAGTAAAACTTTTTATACTCTCTAAAGTAGTTACATCTGACAATATAATTTAAAATATACCGTTATAAAATGGACGTTCTGTACATTTTAGCTAATACAGTAGAACCTCGATAACAGGACTCTCGTGGGGATTATTCAATAAGACTTCTTATCAAGGTTCGCAATCACATGTGAATAGTGTTATAAATTCCAATTGACTGCATTTTAATTACCAGCTGATCATATGATCTTTATTCTTTAAATTGTTATTGTTTATGTTATTTTCCATTCTTTGTGTTAATGAAATAATACACTTTTTTACCTGATTTAGCTTTTATTATTTATAGAAGAGTTACCGCAGTTTTGGCGACGAGGTAAAAGTATAAATTTGTTTATTCATACATTAATAACCAGTTACATATTTTCAATTACCTTTTCTTCAAAAACATGTTAATTGCTACATCTCAGGCTTAGGAACATTCAAGATACATCAACAAAATGAACTCAGAACAATTTGACAAATTTTTAGAAGTCCAGAAAAAACAAATGGATCTTATATTTCTGTTGTTTGAGAAACTAGAACTAAAAATGAAAGAAAACACACCAGATCCAACTGCTCCATTTGAAAGTTACAACTCAGAAAAAGAAAGATTTTCAGCCTATATTGAACGATTTGAAAACTATCTCAGCATGTAGAATGAGTCAAACAAAACTAAAAAAGCTCAAATTCTATGTGCATCAATCGGTCCCATCCATTACAACAACTTAGTTGCATTCAAAGGACCTAAAAAGAAAATCAGACTTGGAATATGAACAGCTAGTTGAAGCCTTTGGCGAAATGCTATCGCCTAAAAAGAATGCTGTAGTGTCGCAGCATTACTTTTTCTCCACTTACCAATCAGAAAGTGAAAACATACCAGACTATGTTGCAAGTTTGCAAAAACGACTTGCTGACTGCGAATTTTACATAAAATGTGAATGCAGAGAAAACATTTCAACAGCTCACATTTTCTTAAGGGCTCAATTCATTAGGGGCATTCGTGATAGTAGTATTCGAGAACAACTTTTACAAGGAAAGGAAGAGAACTTTGATGAAATTGTCAGGAGAGCTATGACTCTTGAAGCAGCCCATATCCAGTGCAAGGAGCTTTCAAACATTTCAAAACCTCTGACCCCTACTTCTTCAGTCCCAGATATTATGAAAATTCAGAAAAGCACTAGACACAATAATCCCTCCACTCGGACATCATCATCTCCCTGGAAAAAGTCATCATACAAGCATCAATCAAGCCGAAAAATCGATTATGAGTCCTTGGGAATCAACAATCTTTGTTTCAGATGTGGATCATCTAACCACCGATTAAATCAGTGTCGAATAAGGCGTGAAAACTATACTGTGAAGCATGCAACAGGAATGGTCACATTCAAAAAGTTTACATTAGTACCCTGAACAAGAAATATGCATCAAGTTAACAAGTTGGCCGATTCTCTGACAGTGATACGTTCATTGATTCACAATCTGATTGTTCCTACGGGGCATGCAGCATAATCAGTGCAATATCCAGAAAAGATAAGGAAATCATCAACCTCTTCGAAATCGAACCTGGACATGGAAAGTACATGGTAGAGATAGCGATAAACCACAAGAAACTGAAGATGGAAGTAGATTCTGGCGCACGGTACACAATTTTACCAGAGGATAAGTTCTTAGCATTGAATTTAGGAATAGATCTTCAACCTTCAAATCTAAATTTTCAAGCCTACTCTAATGATATTGTGCCATGTAAAGGAAAATAAAAAGTTACCTTACAATATGAAGAACGATCTCTAAAAGCAGAAGTGTATGTAGTTTCATCAGGGCACGATCCTATTTTAGGTAGAGATTTGATCCGTGCTTTCGACATTGAACTAAAACAAATCGATCATGACATGAAGATTAATCCAAAAGTCCATTTGGTTTATGGCGACAGAAAGAACATTCAAGATGTTAATAACATTCTGAATGGGTTTGCTTCAATTTTTTTAGAAAAAAATTGGTTGTGTTCCTAACATTCAAGTTTCATTATCTTTAAGAGATGACGCAAAACCGGTATTTAAGTAAGAACGTGATGTCCCAAATGCACTTAGAGAACGTGTTGAAAAGGAGTTGGAATCTTTAGAAAAAGAGGGAATCATCACTCCGATTGCGACAAGTGACTGGGGATCACCTCTCGTCATCATTCCCAAAACCAGATGGTGGACTGCGACTTTGTGTGGATTACAAGTGCGATGTAAACGAGAGGTTAGTCTCGGCTAATTTTCCTATAAGGACGGTTGAAGATGTTCTTAAAATTCTCCGAAATTCCAAATACTTTTGCAAACTGGACCTTTATAAAGTGTACTTACATTTGGGAGTGGACAAGGAATGTAGTGCAATTCAATGGGGGGGGGGAACTTTTCGAACGAAGGGAACTTTTCGCATGAACCGTCTCAGTTTTGGCATAAAAACCGCTCTCTCAGAATTTAACAGAATTTTGTCTCAAATCCTCAATGGACTTAATAAGGGTGAAGCTTATTTTGATGACATAGTCGTCCATGGAGCAACCCAAGCAGAATGTGCTCACAACCTTCAAATGTGTCGAACAAGACTAACAGAATACGACCTACATCTAAATCGAAAGAAATGTACATTTTTGAGAAAAAGATTGAATACTTAGGACACCTGATTGAGCAAAATAAAATCAGTAAATCTCCCGAGAAGATAAAGGCAGTGATGGAAATGTCAAGACCGCACGACGCTGATGAGGTCAGAAGATTTCTTGGAATGATTACTTATTACTCACGTTTCATTCCAAATCTATCTACGTTGTCCTGTCCCTTAAGGGAGTTACTCAAGAAGAAAACCCGTTTTCAATGGACGACAGAATGTGAATCATCCTTAGAAAAGCTCAAGCAAGAAATTTGCAGTGTCAGAGTCCTGACTCCTTATGATCCAAAATTGCCAGTTGTACTTTCTTGCGATGCAAGCCCTGTTGGCATTGCGGGAATACTTAGCCATATCATAAATGGCCATGAACGCCCTATCGCTTACACATCTAGATAACTAACACCTGCAGAACAAAATTATAATCAACTAGATCGAGAGGCACTTGCTATTATATTTTCTGTTGGAAAGTTTCACAACTACTTGTATGGACGCCAGTTCACTTTTGTCACAGATAATAAACCTTTGAGTAGAATCTTTAGCCATGAACACTCTTTGCCGAAAATGACAACATCTCGATTACTTCGATATGCTTAATTTCTATCTGGATTCAAGGATAAGTTGAAAAACAAATCAGGAGATATAAATGAAAACGCTGATTGTTTATCTCAAGCACCCTTGTCTCAAGACTCAAAATCAACTGACATGAAGATAAATGAAGAAGTTCACCGTCTGTACGCTGAGTCGCTTTTCCAAATTTCTTCAACCACTATCACGAATCAGACCATTGCAAATTGCAAGTTCAACATTAAACGATCCTTATCTCAAAGCTCTTATGAAAACTCTACAAACAAGTAACGAAGACACACCCTACACCCTTCTTGATGGAATTCTCTTTTGGCAAGATCGAGTTGTCATTCCACAGAGCCTTAAAATTCAATCTTGAGAGAATTTCACACGACACATATCGGTATAACAAACTGGGAAGGCATGAAGATAGAAGATCTAGTTAGATCTTGTGAAATCTGTGCTAAGCTCCGTGACAACCCCCCGAAGGTGATAGTACAGCCTCACTCTAATTGGGAACGTCTACATATAGACTATGCAGGTCCTTTCGTGGGTCATCATTTTCTAGTTGCTATTGATGCCAAGTCAAAATGGGCAGAGGTTCGAGTCATGAGACATTCTCCTACAACTGAAACAACAATACACACACTTCAAGAAGGATTTTCATTCCATGGCTACCCGAATTCATTGGTCACCGATAATGCATAAATTTTCACAAGCGATGCATTCACAGCCTTCTGCATTGATCATGGCATTACCCAAAAATTCATTGCCCCAGGTCATCCAGATACAAATGGATTAGCCGAAAGAAATGTTCAAACTGTGAAGAAACGTTTAAAATCAATGGCAAGTGAAAATGGTACAATGTCAGAAAAGGTCAGGAAAATGCTTCTACGCTACAGAGCCACACCACTTGCATGTGGGAAAAGCCTAGCAGAGCTTTATTTGCACAGAAGATTAAGAATAGAGCTGGATGCCATATTTCCTATTCCAAAGAAGGGAAATAAAGAAAAAGAAGTTAGGCTGACAAACCATGTAAGATCTATGAGAGTGGGAGATAGAGCCCAAGTTCGTCTTTACTCTAGAAATGCCGAAATCTGGGAATTTGGAACCATCCAATCCAAACGGGGCTCTCGACATTACATGGTAAAGCTTGAATCTGGACGCTTGATCAAAAGACATATCAATCAACTTATAAGAACGGGAGTACCGCCTAAAAATACAAGTCAACGGGGAGCAGATAATCTAAGACGCCCCACTAATCAACAATCAGAAGATGTCCAAAGACGTTCTGTTAGGTTTAATATTCCAGGAATACCAGCGTTACAACGATCTACAATCAGTGGTTCTACAGCTGCGGGTCATACGCTACAACATTCCACGACTGGCCAAATACCAGTAGTGGAGGCTCAGCATCCGAATGTGACATCCATTTTCCTGAAGAAGTCAGAATTGAAGACCAATCACCTCGACGTTCCACGACTGGCCAAATACCAGTAGTGGTGGCTCAGAATCCTGAATGTAATATCCAGAATCCCGATGAAGTGAGAATTGAAAATGAATCGTCTCAGTTACGCAGATCAATACGTGTTCGGCAACCACCAAGTTACCGTGCATTAAAAGCTCAAACTTATGTGGGGAAGATTGTTATAAATTCTAATTGACTGCATTTTAATTGCCGGGTGATCATATGATCTTTATTCTTTGAATTGTTATTGATTGTGTTATTTCCATTCTCTGTGTTAATGAAATAATACACTTTTTTACCTGATTAAGCTTTTATTATTTATAAAGAGTTACAACAAATAGGGGGAAAAATAAATTCTAGGGGATTTAAAAATCAAACTTGTTATCAAGGGTGACTTGTTATCGAGGGTCTTGTTATCAAGGTTCCACTGAATACCAACCTCAAAAAAATGTATTTTGTTGGTTTTATAAACTTATTACACCATATTGAATCTCTTTGGATACTAAAGTCGATCTTAGGTTAATTACAGTACATAAATCACGGTATGGAGATAAGAGCTTAAGGTGATGAAATGTTACTACATTAATATTCTTTTTGTTAGCCTATCTATACTTAACGTTATTAGCTATTTTGGTAATGTATATGTTGTTTGATTTCGCCATATTCCAAAAATGAATGAATATAACTTTAAACAGTTTCATTAATTAAACAGAGTGGTCATGTTTCCATTATTCAGGCGGGTAACCAGACGGCCACAATTGTGGCACTGGCCTGTCTGAAGGACCATGACCTGACCACGGAGATCAATCAGATGGCTATCAGAGACATTGGTGGGCTAGAGGTCCTCATCAACCTGCTCGAGACTGACGACTTCAAGTGTAAGGTCCATGACACAGGCAATCCTTTTATAATATTTAAATAGGGAGATTATATTAAGAGAGATATCTGGACAATTTGGAATTATAATCATTGCATAAGACATGACCAATTAATTAGAAGTAAATAATTAATCAAAATTGGTTCTGCCTTCTGTAGCAACTATTATCAAAGTAATTGTGTACATACGATTCGCAACCACAATGTAGTTGGTATACAGTGTGATTGAAAAGTCCCGGAACAGGACAGTAGGGGATTGAAAATTCCCTAAACGGTGCAGTATATTTTTTCCCATTATATATAAAGTAATAAGACTTATGTCAATAAAAGCTATACATGTCTACTCTTTAAGCTTTGTTACATTTTTATCCCTTAAAGGGGATGGCCCGTAAGGCATCAGACAACATTCTTAGGTTGCAGTGTAGGTCAAGTTTGATCAAATTAAAGGACCTCCTTAAGGGGTAAAAAATAATCTATAAAATATAAACGTAACAGGGTTTTTTTTATTTCACGATTCTGAATCAACCACTCGACGGATTTTCATGATTTTTGTGTTGAAAGAAAGATAATTTTGAGAACTAGGGAATGACGAAACCATAATTTTAGTTTAGGGTTTCAGTTTTTTGGAAATTAAGTTTAAATTTTTGAAAAGTCTAGCTGCCGAAGCTAACATTCTAGATTGACTTTTTGTGTGAAACCATTTGCTTAGACAGCTGTAACAGCTGTAAACATTCAGAGTTTGTGACACAAATTCAGCATTTGGATGAAATGACATAAGCAGGATTGACTTATTTTTACTATGTGTAATGCTTTAATAATTACATTCATTTATTTCGTAAGGGAATGACAGATTATTTTAATATTCATTGTAAATACTTGATAAACTAATTAATTTTTTATAGCAGTCTTTAAACTCTTGGGCTTGTTTTAGTGCAATATAATTTGTTTGAACTGACAGCTGGATAGATATAAAAATATTCTATGGAACCATATGGAACTAGGGGGTTATTTAATATGGTCATTGATTATAGGAAATAATTAAAATTAAAAGGGATTAAGTTAAAACTACTTAATAGTAGACAGTAGAGATAAGGAAGCCCTTTGCCGTCTACAAATCGAGGCTCTGTCCGCGAGTCTTCAAATAAAAGAAAAGCCCATATAAATTATTTTACGAGATTTATTCAGATGTAGACAAATGGATGACAGAGATTAATCACGATTTTATCATTGACCTAGGATACTGCAAGTAGGCCTATCCTTTTGTCAAATCTAAATTGTTGTTTGGCGTGTGTTCATGTGTGACATGTGTGGCTACGTTTGGGTGCGCTGATGTAGGCAAAATATATCTTTTAATTTTTAACTAATTATCTTATAGTTTGGATAAAGGAATATGGGAAATAAGGATGTACAGCACATAGATTCAATGAGGGTGGGTAATTATCACAGATGTTAGAACGGATAATGGTATGGATAGTAAAAAATTACGTCACTATAGTTCGGCCGCTTAGAAAACGACCTCCTCCAGCATTGGTTTAGCATTAGCGCGCAGGTCGTTTTCTAAGCGGCCGAACTATAGCTTACTACTAGCGTGTTTACTTTTTCAAATTCCTTCTACAGATGACAAGAAATTTATTTCAAACTAATGTTGTTTCAACTAAACATCTGTTTCAAAACAAACGATCTGTTATTGTTTTTACTTTTCTTTGATTACTAATTCATTTAGCAATTTATGCAGTGAAATTGATTCAAAGAATAGGTATGGACGATTTTTAATAATGTCAGGACTATGTTGGCAAGCCAAATTTTTGGTTGGTAATTCAAATGTCAACAGTTGTAGTAAGTCACTAGAAAACTCTCCAAAAAGCTGCATGTTGTCAGTAGATACCAAATTGGATTCATTTCATACCATAATATCCCAGTAGTATATGGTTCAGAAACTTGGGCACTGACCAAAGAACCGAAAAACCGTATTGCTGAGTCTGAGAAATAGAGTGCAGAGAAAATATACGGGCCATTTGAGAAACGGATATTGAGATACGAAAGAAATGAAATGAAATGAAATGCTTTATTTTCCTTTAGGTATAGAATGCAATAGGCATCGAAAGAACAGAGAGCTAAAAGGAATATTTAAACACCTAGATATGCGTGGAGGAGAAAAGATACATTAACTTTTTAAATCTTACCAATGAGTACCACAAATTAGACGACCATTTGGAGGATCAAGCAGTGAAATACTTCATCAGACTTGGATCAACATTAGCAGAGTCAAGAGATAGAAGAGAATGAGAGGCCAAAATCCTCTTAAGGTTTCAGTGGCCATAGGTAAAATAAGGTAGGCCTAAAATAAGTGATAATATGCAATTAAAGGTGGTATGTAGCTACTGTACGTTAAACCAGTGTGTGAATCGACTGCAAGTCTCACTTCAAGGCTTTTCAAATCGACACAAATACAGTTTTATTGTAAAATTATCTTATTTAAATGCATAGCCTACCGTATATGCCTATAATCAGATGAAAGAATTATATGGTCACGTGGTATTAACAAGAAATTTTCTATATTAAGTCTGCAAGGTTTTCTTTATGCGTGTAAATTAGCAGAACTGAATTATATATTCAGTTTTAATTGACTACTTGATTCCCGTACGTAGGACGGGCTAACAGCTAGTAATAGCAATATTAAAAGAGTAGACATGTATTGATATTATTGACATACTAAGTCACATTACTTTACATATAATGGTAAAAAAATATATTGCACCGTTTAGGGAATTTTCAATCACCTACTGTACAGTATGTGAATAGTATTTTTATGTTACGCTCAAACTCCAAATTCGGGCAATGTCCGAAATTTTCACCCACTTCGCGATAAGGACAGTGTGAAATACCCGCGTTGCGGAGTGAACATTCTCTTCCCGGACATTGGTCGAAGCGAAATTCCCAGACCGCGTTGTGGGTAAACTAGTTTACTCAAATGCCGAAGTCAATACGTTCTTCGGCGATTGAGTGAATCCAAAATACCCACAACGCGATGTGAGCAAAAGTAATTGCCCACGTCGGGTAGTGGATATTCCTAGTTTGCGCTAACACCGACTATAATAGCCTGTATAAAATACCGCATACACAAATATTGACATGAAATCTACAATCACTAGGTAAAATAAAATGTTATTAAGTTAAAAATTATATTTATTTAATGCACAAATATAAATAACATTTTATAAAAATCCAGGTAAACAGCAAACTACCGAACAGAATTAAAAAAAATTCCCGTAACTAAATATACATACATTGAAATAATGTTTTTCCGCTATGCTAGCAACAACGGCGACTATTACACAGTAGGCCTACTTGTTACATTTGTATTTTACTTGTTGGCTCAGTATGTGCTGCAGTAGAATTGCATTTTATGTGTAACCCAATACATTTTCACGATTTACCTAAACAGTTCCTCTTGCAACCACACCTTGCTTGAATCCGGATGACATAATTGCTCCTTTGCGTACGTTTACTTGCTCATCATGTCCATCCAAGGTGAAAATAATTTTATTTGGCGTCACATGGAATTGGTTTCTTGAGATCTATTTGTCCAGAACTCCATGTTTTGTACCAAGAGTCCTCGGTCAACATCAGGAATTATGACCATCACATCACGTTAATTGTCTCCGACTGAAACTGGGATTAATTTTCTTTCCGTGTTCTGGAAATTTTTTATCTCTGGATTTTAAAGGAAGTTATACAGTTTTCCAATGCTGTATCAATTGCAGATTTTCTTGAACAAAGAGTGCACAAAGGTATGCTAACATAAAGGTGCATAAAGGTAGGTGCTAGGAAAAAAAGTTAGAACTTTTGAACTTCGGCATTTAAGGAAATCAGTTTACCCACAATTTTGCTTCAGCCAATGTTCGAATAAAATGCTCTCTCCACGACGTGGGTATTTCACACTGTCCACATCGCGAAGTGGGTAAAATCTCGGTCACTGTCCGAATTCGGAGTTTGATTGTAACATATACGTAAACGCAACCCAAGCCGTGAAGACACAACAACTACCGTGAGACACCTTTTAACAACAAAACCAGCTTATAGATGGTTACATTGTTTTGCTATTTATTTACTTCATTGCCGATCAGCTAATATGCATCGTTCCAGTTATCTATGAGGTTTAGAGTTATTGATAATTTATTGTACATAAGATTTAATTGGGTTTTGCATGTTCAAATTAAGTGAAAATGCTCTAAGTTGAGACATATTCTCCAAAAACACCAAAACTCATAGAACTATGCAACAATGCATATCTGCTGGCAATAATATAAATAATACAGGGATACCAGCAAAATGTGAGCTTGTTTTGTCGTTAAACAGTGTCTTATGGTACTTGTAAATTGAGTTATGTTAAAAATAGCAATGCCGCAACGAACCTGCAGACTAAGGGAGTTTCCATTTGCCTATTTAAAAATATCACCTTAAAAATATTACATTCATTCACTCTATTTAAAGAGCATTAGTTTAACGGGTACTTAGGTTTGCTGCAACAGGGAGGGTTAGAAAGTGTTTTTTGTGAAATTTTAATCTGTAGTTTAGTATCAATCAATAAATTCTTTATTCAGAACGTATAAATTGTTTTTGTTTTTTTTTAGATAAAACAAGTATATTACTTAGTTTAAAAAAAATCATCCAGACTGTAATACCCCCGCTGCAGCAAACCTGCTGACTAAGCGAATTTCTATTTGCCTGGATTGATTTTCAATTAATCTATTAAATTAACATTTATGTTTAACGAGTACCTAGGTTAGCTGCTACAGGGAAACTAATAAAGTGTGTTTTTTATTCAAATATCAATAGCTTAGTATGAAATAAAATAAATCCGCCAAGTTCGATCAAAATATATCCATAAACAAGCCAACTACAACATTTTACAATATTCTCCATAAGAATAACATGGACATTTTAAATAACAATTTTTTTGAATTTTCTCCGTAACCATTCACTGTACAAAACACTTTGATATTTTAAATCATTTGTTTTTTTAAGCTCTTTAAAAAGGTCTGGAGAAAAATTGATAAATTTGGGGTTTTAAGGTAAAATATTAGAAAACCCCATTTTTACCCCATAAAACCTCCCGTTAAACCCCGTTCCCATGGTCCGATCATGCTGGTTCGCGAACTCATTCAAGTTTATCCCGCCTTACACCTTCAAACCAAATTTTATCAAAATCGGACAAAAATTACTCAAGTTATCGTCCGGACGGACATATATATATATATATATATATATATATATATATATATATATTTATTAAATATTTAAGTAAATAAGTACAACTGAGCACCCTGAATATTATATTTTATAAAAAGAAGTGACATGTTTCGGACATTAGTCCATTTTCAAACTTCAAAATACATTAAACACTTAACTGTTGTTTATATTGTTTGTTTGTAAATAAATATAATTTTAATATACAGATGATTTATAGAACTAGACAGGATTTGGAAAAACATTTTTGTTACTGATTATTTAATTTTAAAATTTGGTCAAAGTTTGGGTTTCTTGAAGGAATTTGGCTATTTAAAATATGATTTGGATTTTTTAGATTTTCTTCGTATATGAAATATTCTTCAGTTGAATCCATTCAATTTCCTTTGTTTAAAACTTTTAGAATTTTCATGTTGTTTTTTTAAATTTGTGTAATTGTGGTTGGTCGATAAAAGGTGTTCAGCAAAGTTGGATTTCATGGATGTTCTGTTGTTACTCTTAAGAGCTTTAATGTGCTCTTTGAATCTAGATTTAAAAGAGCGTCCTGTCTGACCAATGTAGAAGTGTTCACAATCAGTGCAGTTAATTTTGTAAATGCCAGATTTGTCATAGATGTCTTGATGTTCTTTATTTGTATTAATGTTATTTGTTATCATATTGAAAGCGTTATTTTTTTGTTTTAAAGCCAATTTTGTATTCAGAATTTTGAAAAGTTTTGCTTGTAGTCCTGTTAAGAGTTGTATTGAATGGGATACTAATGAATTTCTCTTTCTTCTTTCTTTCTTTGTTGTGTTCTTGATTTAGATTTTTCTTTCTTTTGATGTTTCTAATCATATTGTAGATAATGTTTTGCTTATATCCATTCCTTGATGCTAAGTATTTAATTTTGTTTAATACTATCTCGTAATTTTTCTTTGTCATTGGAATGTTCAAAAGACGATTTAGCATGGATCTGAGAGCAGATAGTTTGTATTTCCAAGGATGGTTAGAATTTGATGGTATCATTAGGTCTGATTGAGTTGGTTTTCTGTAAATTTTGAAATCGTGTTTGTTTATGTTTTTTGAAATAGTTAGGTCGAGATAGTTTATTTCATTATCGTTAATTTCTTGGGTAAATTTTATTTTCTTGGACAATGTGTTCAAATATTTTAAAAAATCTTTACTTTCCTCTTCATTTCCTTCAAAAAGGCAAATGACATCATCCACATATCTGTACCAATATTTTTTTTTTGAGGGGTATGGATTTAAATCATTGTTAATTTTGTTTTCTTCCAAATTAACACCTTTTATCGGCCAACCACAATTACACAAATTTAAAAAACAACATGAAAATTCTAAAAGTTTTAAACAAAGGAAATCGAATGGATTCAACTGAAGAATATTTCATATACGAAGAAAATCTAAAAAATCCAAATCATATTTTAAATAGGCAAATTCCTTCAAGAAACCCAAACTTTGACCAAATTTTAAAATTAAATAATCAGTACCTAACAAAAATGTTTTTCCAAATCCTGTCTAGTTCTATAAATCATCTGTATATTAAAATTATATTTATTTACAAACAAACAATATAAACAACAGTTAAGTGTTTAATGTATTTTGAAGTTTGAAAATGGACTAATGTCCGAAACATGTCACTTCTTTTTATAAAATATAATATTCAGGGTGCTCAGTTGTACTTATTTACTTAAATATTTGATATATCAGCAGCCCTAATACGTGAACACCTAAATTAACATGAACACCTACGGTAATAGCTACTTCCCTATAGGGAAATTTGCTAAAAAGAATTTGCTATCAAAAATGTTTTCAGTTTCTTTTTTTAAATTTATTTGTGCTCTGCTCCTTCCTTATGCCATCTGGGACTTAGCTTATATTTTTCTTTATTATGATTTTTAATTGTCAAGGTTTGTTTATAATTGTATAGTAATTGTGGATATCCTGTTGTTGCTCTAATTTTTATTCGTTATTTTTCACATAAAGAGTTGTTTTTTAGATAGGCCTATATAAACACGGAGCTTTTAAAATTTACAAAAAGGATTTGTTCTTTGAAAAAAAGTTGAAGTCTTTTACTTATCAAAATCTCAGAGCTTATTTTCTTAAAAACATTATCAAAATGTTTAAACCAGTTTTAAAGTTTTATCAACCATAGGACTTTAAACTCGGTGTTATTTTCAAAATTATTGAAAATTTCATTGTTCTTTGAATTTTTACAAGAAACTTTTACCAAAGTAGTTTTGTTCTTATTTAGTAAAAGATTAGTAGTAAGATTTTCTAAATTTGATCAAAATATGTTTTCGTTTGAATATTGTTTAACTTTAAATAGGTACCCATTACATTGGCATGTATTCTAAAGGATGTCTATGAACGTGTATGTAGATGGGAGCGCTCTCAGTGCTGAGTGAGATCTCCAGCAATCTAGACATACGCAAACACATCACAGACCTTGGAGCTGTACCTTTACTGGTCAACCTGCTCAGCGACCCTGCCAGGTGAATACATATATAGAAGACAGTTAACATTTTTGTAGTGTGGTAAATCGATAAATATTACTATACTATAACATTATAGGTAAACATTATTTACCTACAACAGTTTTTTTTTTTTTTTAAGTAGCCGTTTCAGTTCAGTTAATAGAATTGAAAAGTTCCGCATAACAGCATTGTTTACTTTCATAGTTTCATAACAGCATAATTTCACTCATAACAAAACGGGTAACGGACCAATGAGGTCCAAGGATTGAGAGAGAAGAAGTAAAATTGTAATGGTTCGAACTTACTAATCAGCTCTTCAGGGCAATTTAATTGTTAAGTGGTGTACGTGTACAGAGTGTAGGTCTAGAGTCTAGACCTGTACCCACCGCCGTGTTGTAAATTAGTTGTGTGGTCATGCATTTTATCGTTTTTTGTTTGTGTACGTGTTATGTGTTACGTGTTTTTCAAGACTCATGACGACCTCCTAGGAGCGATTTTTACGTTCAGCTTGACAATGATGCCATAGACATTGAAACCGGTCGCACTAATGACGACTTAAGGATTACTTGGACAAACTCAAGGTAACTTAACCTCTTGTATACAATTCATGAAGTAATCCGGAAGGCAATACACAAGATACAGATAACAGTAATAACAGTATTTATGTGAGGTAAACAGTTAGTATTACTATAGCAAGTAAAGCAGATAACATTACTATAGTGTATCAGATAACATTACTAGTAAAGTACATAGAAAATATTACTGTAGTGAGGTAAACAGAAAACTTGATTGTATTGAGCTAAATAGGGTCCAGCTTTCTAATAAGCCAATTTTATAATATTGACTTTTGACTAATTAACTATCAATTACCAGTATATTTCAGTACCTCTACTCTAAACCAGGTTTAGATTATAAATTTATATGTAAATTTTTATCCTTGAACGAAATAATTTTTTTCTCAGGGACTTGCAAGGGTTAGCTGCTTTCACAATATCAAATGTTGCTAAGATCAGAAAAGCGAGAAAAATTGTACGGAAGTGTTCAGGATTACCTAAACTTGTAAGTATTTCAAATGCTTGAATTTTATCTGTAAATTATAGAAACAGTTTTTTTTATCATTATAAATCACCATTAAGTAACAGTAAAACCTCATATGATTCTAGATTCAACCCATTTTAAGAATGAAATTGTAATTGTAATGAGTCATAACACTCTAACTTGATGCCACTCTCCCTTCTTGATAATTATTTTAATAACTTGCCAGCTAATCTTCGGCAAACATATTTTCCATTATGGTTGAATTTGCCTATAGTGCAGTAGAAATAATCGAAAATATAGCTTAAGGTGGAACTAATTGCAACACAAATGATTCTTGCTGTGAATGGTAGGTAGTATGCTTCTAATCAACATACTAAAAATATACATCCGTACTGTGGCGCAAAATACGTTTTTTGGCCGCCATCTTGAAAAAAGTGTCAAAATTTTAATATTCGTAAAAATAACTTTTTGGGTATCAAATTATAGGAAATTTAATGCTGAAAAATGTTATAATAGTGGTTATAAGCACTATTTAGAAATACGATCGTAGTACAAAACACCCCCGCCGCAGCAAACCTGCAGACTAAACGAATTTCCATTTGTCTTAACTGATTTTCAATTAAATCTAGTAATTCAGTTTTAAAAATCTTTGTACAACTAAATCTAGAGTTCTACTGGACCGATTTTATAACCTAATGGGTCATTGGAAAGGAATTCGTGTAGATTTTCAAATAATTATTAAAGTTTGATTTTTTAAGATTTGCTAGGTGAAACCCGTCAACGTCGACAATTAGCTTAGGTACTGTTGAGGTTGCAAGTAAGATCTTTTAACTATAAATCGATGATAGATAACTCCATTTTTAAACAATTTGGGTCGTTTATAATTTAGCAGTGTGCTTTAGGTACGTCCAATCTCAATAATCAATAATTCCAATGGAATCTGGTATTTCACTGAAGATTATTAGATAAAAACATATAGGATAATGTAACTGCTGGAATACATTTTTAATTGAAGTAAAAATTGAAAAAAATCCAATTTAATTGTTTTCGTAGGGTTATACATTTGATAGATTAATTATGACAAATATGTGCTTGCATAGCTTTGAGAACAAAATTATGAAAATCGGTCTGGTAGAAGAGCCAAACGTACTTGAAAAAAACAAATTTAACTCCCGTAGGTAATGTACAGGGAGACAGTTTGTGCATAGCTCAAAATATACGTCAAAATGAGTGCTGATGCTTAATAGCAAATCTATGGTGTGTCTATAGCTTTAGTTTAAAGCCGAATTTACACTATGTAGCAAAACCTGCTATATAACATTGCTTTATAACTTTTGCTGTATGAAAAATTTACAAACAATTTTAGTGATTCTGGTGCTCGTGCTATATGTTATATGTAGCACAACCTCATTCGCATTCCGTATCGAAATGTGCGCTGAAGAGACATTGTTCGTGGCAGCTATCGTGTTGATCTTGGAAGTCAGAGAGAGAGACAGACAGGAGCGAAGATTTTAGCAAGTTTTAGGTTTGACCGCTTCTTGCTTCGAGAAATAAGTACAGTGTAGCAGATTTATTACGGGACCTTAATGATTATGAATACCCTGACAATCCGTAATTAAAACGCTAAATAAGGCGACGGTAACTTCAAAAATGTTTTACGTATGATCACAACGCCGGTTGTCCACGGAACAGTTCAATTAAGTTTATAATATCAATAGCCCCGATAATATCATCCCGATCCTAGGCACTGCCACTTTCCGTTTTCGGTCCATCCATTGTAAACAAAGATCGCTGAGCAAAACCGTTCAGCGCTACATATAGCAGATGCTAGACGAAAAATATATGTATATTATTGCTACATATGGCAATGTTAGATGTAGCACGTATTTCTTTTGATATTTACCGACTCCCGATGGATAGCACAATTTTAGCTATATATAGCAGGATCTGCTACATATAGCAGTGTTATATAGCACTCTTGTAAAGTTACTTTTTCTACTTCTAGCAAATGTTATATAACATTGCTAGATGTTACACAAATCTGCAATGTAGCAGGTTTAGCTACATAGTGTAAACCCGGCATATGGCCAAAATTATGAAAATCGGTCTTGTAGAAGAGCTAACCCGACTCGGAAAAGAAAAACCAATTATTTTTATAGATGGCAATAATTGATTTACCAGTATGCATAATCTAACCATACGAAAAATGAGTTGATAATTTAACAGCTTATTGTTATATTGTTATTTAATGAAATTTTCTTTGATTAAATATTGTTGTTAACAATTTGCATTTGTGTTTAAAGTGTGTTTCTTATGTTAAGTGTGTGATTCTAATGTTATGAGCTTAATATGTACCAAATATTAGTGAGTAAAGTGGTGTATGGATTTCATAACCATTATTTTACTAGAGACCGTTGCATTAATTTAACCACGGGCTCTGTTGCTAGTCTATTAAATAAATAACATTAGGTTTAACGAAACGAGTACCAAGGTTTGCTGCTACAAGGAAACCAATTAAGTGCGTTTTTAGTAAAATGTTAATTGTTTAGTATAAAATAAATAAATCTTCAAAGTTTTATCAAAATATATCCATAAACAAGGAAACTACAACTTTTTACCACATTCTCCATAAGAATAACATGGGGATTTTAAATTTCCAATTTTTTGTATTTTCCCCGTTACCAATAATCGTACAAAACCCCTTTGATATACTTAACTATTTGTTTTTTAAGCTCTTTAAAAAGGTCTAGAGATAAATTGGGAAATTTTACGTTTTAAGGGTCAAAAATGAAAAAAACAAATTTTAAAAGTATAAAATAACTTATAAATAAAAAACTTTTCAAATGCCACGTTTTTAAACGCACCTTTTTTCGCCCTTAGTGCATCACCGTTAACAGTATATTTTAAATTCAACCATTATGTTCTTTTCCAGCATGAAATGTTCTATAATTTTATACCAAACCAGATTTTTTAACAATAATTTAAAATTTTACACTTTTTTTAAATGGCGACCAAAAAACCGTATTTTGCGTAACAGTACAAATGTATATTTTTAGTATGTTTTTTAAAAGTGTATTACCTACCATTTCTAACTGGAATAATTTCTGTTGCAATTAGTTCCACCTCAAACCCTATTTCTACTGCACTACTAATAGATCTGGAGCTATGTCCAGTGCCTATAGCCAGTAGCTGTAATAGTGTGCCTATAGTATAAGGACGAGCCAACTAAATGTAGGAACAGTTTAACAATAAACTTTTTAAATCATATATTTTACAAATTTGGTGGTGATGTTATCATGCCCGAAGATTCTTTCAGGGAAAACTTAAAAGGTATTGTGAAAAGTTGTCTATAATATAAAAAGAAGGTCTCTTTACTAATTCCCTAATCTATCTCTAAATTTTGTAAAGGTAAAGGTACACATCATGGACACACCCAATACGAGTTATTGTTATAGATACTGTAGTGCATATTTGGTTCAGGTGGACCTCTTGGACGTGAAACCGTCTCTGTTACTGACCCAGTCAAGCCAGTTGGAGCCTGATGACAGGAAGAGGATTGAAGTGGTTCACGGCGCTGCCAAAGCTATCTGGAGCCTGTCTCAGTCTAACAAGAACAAAGAGGCAATGAGACGTACAGGGTGTATCAAACTGTTAGCAAGACTACTGCAATCAGTGCATGAAGAGATAGTAGTCTTTACTGTTGGTACCATACAGCAGTGTGCCACTCAGGTCAGTATGGTAATAATGGTTAAGCTCCAATTGAATAATAGGACTATAAAATTACTTTTCTGAAGAAGCAGAAATGTTGGACACTTCTTCAGTTGTCTGACTAGGCCGGGCCACACTTATTATAATTTTTAACCAGCGAGATTGGTGTTTGCGTTTTCACGTGGGACGCACGTGAAAGAGTGTTACCGTGGCCACACTCGTCTTATGAGATAGGGTTTTCGGACTAACCAGCAAGACTAATAGAGCATGCCACACTAGCAATAACATCGTCCGTGTCCGTGATCCCCACTCCCCTCCCCTCCACGCTCACTGCACAGTAAATCAGTCAGGTTAAAACTAGAAACGTCCGTGAAAAAAATTCAGCGAAAAAAGATGAGTGTGTTCACTCCCATAAGCCACAATGCCCTGCGACTAGTTTTACAAGCAACGCCCGTGGAATGTTAGTAGAGAATAGACATGCAAATCTGTAGTAGCGAGACTGGTAAACGCGTTTACGGACGTTTTTACTCTAGGGTGGCCTGCCCCATAAACCTTAATTTTATTTTTTTTTATTTTATTTTGTGTGTATTTACGCCAGTGGCATTTTTTACATGTTGAAAGGGAAAACGTCGACGTTTTTATTATATAGCATCATTAATTCATAGCCCAATGACAAGTGGCATCTGGGTCTGGAAACTATCTCGCTTGGATTTGAACCAGCGACCTTCAGATTTGAATGTGAGCACTATAACCACTCGGCTACCCAGATACCTCAAACCCACGGGTAACATCCGTGGAAAAATTCAGCGAGATAAGACGAGTGTGGCCCCAGCCAAAGACGAGTGTGGCCCCGGCCTAAAATGACGTTTTATAATCATGGCTGATAGATTTTTCATCATCATTAAATTCTTGTTATGAAATCAGTAGTTAGTGTTTTCAAATTTGTTTAATATTAAATCATCTAGAACATTTTTAATTCTAACCTAATGACTAAATTTTGGTAGATTGTAAGAGCCAGTAAGCGTAGGCCTTTATTTAAAGAAAGTGTCTTTGTATTTCGGGTATTTATATTTATTTGTTATAATGGACAATGGACATCATTCCCCTGAGTATTGCCTCTGTTAAATTTTTTAATGAGCCAAAATCGTGTATTTTTAATAGTCTTATACACCTCCACCATATGGGTATAGCATTACAAATTTTTACAGTTAAAATTTTAATAGGAGCTTTAACGCTTTTCTATTCTGGCAAAATACTGTACATGAGTGAAAATTTTGAAACATACGTTTTTATGTCCATGGCCATTTACTTCGTAGATACTGAATATGTAGTTCATCATTATGTGTTTTAATATTTTTGGCACGGGAGCAACATGTTACACACAATTATTTGGCTTTAAATAGGTTCTAGGTATTTTTTTCATATTTTTTATACGCCGTTCAAACAGCCGTGGCACCTGACGGATTAGGACACCCCATGGAAACCCTTGGGGCCTCCTAATCCCTCAGGTGCCACGGCTGTTTCAACGGAGTATAAGTCTCGAAACTCACGACCGTCACGTGTCCCTAGGGTACATTTTGCAACTTTTATGCTGTTTTTAGAATAATTATTCATGCCGAAATGAAAAATGTCATATTTTTATTACATCAATCGTTATTAAACTTACGAAAAGGGAGCATATGATAATTTTCTTTTCATTGTAAACTGTCTACCATGACTAAATAGATCTGTCCCTCGGTTTGACATCACGACCATTAGGGAAAAATTTGCAACTTTGGAGCACGACAGTGGCAAGCCTGGCATCGATGGAGTCAGTTGGAGTAGACCCCATGAGAGGACATCCCAAATTTGACCTTGAACTTGGTCATTGACCTTGGGGTCAAGATACGCTTGTTATCTAATTGGGTGTGACCTTGGGGTCAAGGTAAGCTTGTTGTTGCCTAATTAGGTGTGACCTTGGAGGTTAAGAGTGTCATAAAAAGTAGTTTTTAGGAGTAGTCAGGAATCGAACCCGGGTCTCCAGCATGTGAGGCGGGTGTGTTAGCCATTGAGCTATGACGTCAGTTTGTAGAGCAAGAGTCTGAGGTGGTATAATAGAATAGTCGTAGCGTAGTTGGATTTTTTGTCACCAGATTGCAGCACTGTAGGTACAATTTTTGTCTACCAGAGTGCAGTGTTGCGATGAGTTGGTGCTTTATGTATTTTGCAGCTAGTGTATAGGTGCACCATTATAGTATCATGTGATGTCTCTTTAGCCAATCAGAGGGTGACTATTTTCTTTAAGCCATAGATGGTGGTGTCACGTGATGACTCTTTAGCCAATAAGAGGTTACGATTACCTATAAGCCACGCCTCTTTCAAGATGGTGATGTCACGTGATGACTCTTTAGCCAATCAGAAGGTGACTATTCCCTCTAAGCTATAGATGGTCACGTAATGACTCTTTAGCCAATATGGGGGTGACTATTACCTATAAGCCACACCCTTTTCAAGATGGTGGTGTCACGTGATGTCTCTTTAGCCAATCAGAGGGTGCCTATTTCCTCTAAGCTATAGATGGTCACGTGATGGCTCTTTAGCCAATAAGGGGTGACTATTACCAAAGAGCCACGCCTCTTTCAAGATGGTGATGTCACGTGATGACTCTTTAGCCAATCAGAGGGTCCCTTTTGACCATACCCTTTCATGATGGTGGTGTCACGTGACCTCCTCCAGCCTATCACAGAGTGACCATTCCCTGTAAGTTATGTCACATGATTTTTCTTTAGCTAGTGAGCCATATGCCAAATGCCATCTAAGGCATGCACATTTTGCGATGGTGGTGTCATACAACTTTCGCCAACTAATCATAGGGTGGCTTTTCTCTCTTAGCCATGCCCCTCTTTTACTGATGATGTATTTAATATGACTGTCTTTGGGGTGTTACTCTAAAGCATATGTAGCATGCAATTTTTCAAGATGGTGGCATCCATGAAAAGGTTTGGTTTTATTATTTGCTACCAAGTTACATACTGATGAATCTTTCTAGGTTAAAAGGTTCATAGAAGTAACCAACAATTGAACCGGGACATGATGTCTTTTTAGTCAATCAGAGGGTACATTCCTCCTCTAAGCTACGCACCGTTTAAAATGGTGGTGTCAAGTGAGTTCTTTTGACAAACAGTCAGAGTGTTTCAAGCGTCATGTCCCTTTTTTAAGATGGCAGGGTCATGTGTTTCAACAATAATTAATGTGTCCTAACCTAGCTTTAGACACTAATAATAATATTTGTCTTGTATGTAGTCTTAATGGTAAAGTAATACTAACTTCATTATTATCTTATTTGGTGTCTTCTTGAACCATCACAGTGTTTATTGATCTAAATCTACATACAACGAGTCTATACAAGCCTTTGTGGTAGTAGTTGTTTAATGTTTATGTGCCTTTTCTGTTTAATCATGTGTTAAAAGTGATTGGGTGGGAACTCTAACAGTACCAAGTCAAATGTTAAAATTTCAGACTGACTGACAAAGCACGACCAAGACAAACACTGAAACAACAAACATAAAAATCTTAAGCTTAAATGAATGACCCGCGTTTCCACACCACCCAAGGGGTGGGGGCCTCGGCGCGTTCTTTTTGTTTACCCAGAGCATCACCTGTAGTCCTAACCTCTGGGGTAAGGGGCCCCAACAACGCCCACCTATGGTGGTAGCCAACCACAGGCACACCAACCCCTTTACTAATCACCCATGGAGGTATACTACTTACACCTATTTAACGAGCACTGAAAGTCCGTTCAAGCCAACACGGGGTTGTCCTCAACTGAATGCCGAACACCCCCGCCCCTTTACTAATCACCATCAGTGGTATACTATGTACAATTATTTACAAACCTCACAAGTCCGTTCAAGCCAACACGGGGATGCCCTCAACTGAATGCCGACCACCCCCACCCCTTTACTAATGACTCATAGGATAATTTTCTCTTCTTCCAAGTATTTGTGATCGGTTAGGAACTTTCCGCTTACATTCTGATACAATGCAATATTGTCCCAATCTACATTATTTAAAAATCGTGAATAAACTGTTCTGAAAGAAACTGGTATCTACTGAGCACTTCCCAAGCTGCACTGTCAAAGCTCGGTGCCATTTCTCTGAGAAAGTTTTCAGAAAAAAGTTTCCGCCGCAGACAACTCTGTGAAAATAGACTCTCAGCATGTCTAGTGAAACATCATAGTTATCCGATAGCATTTTCCAGTCCATAAAAAAGTCAAATTTCATAATAAAACTGTCAGACATAACTCCATCAGGAGCTTTGTTCTCTCGGGAAAGTAACTGTCACGCTGTCTCCATTGCAAATGATTAAATTTCAGTCACTTCTCCTGGCTTTATAGGTTTTGCCAAAAGGATCGAGTACTTTACAGAGCACACTTAGCGCTTGCATCAACCTGATGTTGAGGGAGCAAACAGTGCACTGTACAAGGTGCACCTTGATCCCAAGTGATTTCCTTGACATTATGGTGAAACTCCTGAAGGAATTTGACCTTTTCAAGCCCTTTTATACATATCACACGAAAGGGCTTGCACAAATCACGAATGATTTGTTCATTGTATGGGACTCCATCGTCGTCCCATTTAATACTGTGAAAGTGTCTTGTTAACCACCGAGCTGTGCGGCGCATTTTTGCATTTAAAAAGTAAAAACTGTAAGGAGCTTTGAATATTATTTGACTTTGAAAGTTATTTCCGACTATGGCCAGCTCTTTGACAATAACCCGGTTATTGTTGTCCTTGAACCCGTGAAATTCCAAGATGGCTGCCATTTGCAATGTGTAATTCCTCCAACAGTTGATTAAAATCTGCACAAAAAACTTCGTCAGGTTTTAACACGTCTTCTGCGCCACTATTGACTTTGAAAATATAATCTCTAACTAAATCTTCATTATAAAACAGCTCCGCAATATACTTGTTCACGAGTGGAAGGTAAGCCATAAACTGACACCATTCATTCAAGTCAAGCATTAACGAATGCTCTCCGT